TCTATCTATCCATTTTAAAACGTCAAAAAATAAAGAAAAATCATGAAACAAGCAAATAAAATTTAGAATAAATTATTAAACTACTACCCACATATGAAATATAAATATTACAAATGGTGTAAAACATGCTGTGTTTTCATATGATGTCTTTAAGTTTTGAGGGGTAATTGTTTTGTTATGTTCTCACTGCACCTATGTGAAACATACAAATCTAAAAAGTAACATTTAAATCTACATAAAATGAAAAGCCGCACGTGGACACTTTTGTCCTTGGTTATATTAAAGAATGTGCTGTGGGGTCCGTATAGCTGAAACCGCCATTAGTAGATGATTTTTTGTTTTTGTTTTGTTTTGTTTCCTATTCATAGACGTTTTAAAAGTAATCCTAGACGGACCCATTTCTCTGTTACACCGGACGTAGCACGGATGTAATTTTATGCTGTGCCCGTTCTTCTTCCGGTCTCTTTCCCCACTGCCACTTGGTGAAAATGGTAAGAAGCAATGTCGCTAAACAGAAATCTTTCAACATCTGCAATATCAGAAGGTCATTTGAGACCAACTGACAGTTTTCTGTTATCCTATAATTAGTGGTATCGTTTATCTATAATATTTATAGGATGAATCTTTCTGGTGCTGAAATTTGTTTGTGTTTATTCGGCATCCTTGTAGCATTTTCCGCTAGCATTAGCGTCAAGCGTTAAGTGCGGTAAACGGTATCAAAATAAGCATACCGACACGGAAAACTCTACATGGAACCATTTAATCTAGTAGTGTTTTAGTAAAATACGTGTCCATTTAAATGTGCTAACTTAGCCCGAAAGGTTAGTGTTTTATTGAGGTGTTTTTCTTTCGGATCTAATTGTATTAAGGTTTCCTTAAACTGGAGCATTGATACCTACAGTCTAGTGATTAAACATTTAACTTACATTTGAGACTACATTAAATCAGTGGGTGAGATATGAAGTCTTGTCAATGATGTTTTCAAACAAATGTCTGAACATATGACTGGCTGTGATTCCTTTATATTTGCTGAGACAAGACATGTATAGATGTTTGCATGTCTCCTTAAGTTTTGATGCGTTTTCCTTTAATTGATGAATTTCTCCCTCGGCAGACCAAGGGAACATCTTCATTCGGTAAGCGCCGAAACAAGACGCACACTCTGTGCCGTCGCTGCGGGGCCAAGGCTTATCATCTGCAGAAGTCCGCATGTGGCAAGTGTGGCTACCCCGAGAAGCGCAAGAGAAAGTGTAAGTCCTAACATACAGTGCATGAGATTCAAATGCATATTATTTCTCATTTTTCTTTGAGGGAAAAAGCTAAATCAGCTTCTCTAGTGTTTAAGTTTTCCTCTTGTAATTTTTTCAATAATTTTTCTGTATGTGTACTTTTTATCTTTCAGACAACTGGAGCGCAAAGGCTAAGAGGAGGAACACCACTGGAACAGGCCGTCTGAGGCACCTGAAGGTCGTCTACCGCAGATTCAGGTGGGAAGAGCTGCTGAGAAATAAATTTCGCTCTTAGAAATGTTTTTGTATCTTTGAAATTAGGGGTTAATTGGTCGATTTTTAAACATAACTTCTCGTCTCTTTTGCCAAATATTTAGTTTCATCTGTCATTTTCACTCAGAGCCAGGTATATAAATTTGTATCATGCACAATAATTGATTCATAAATGGAGACATGAAAAGGTTAATGTTAGGCAAATCTTACCTGAAGATGTATTTAGTCTGTCACAGTTTAAGAGGAACTTTGTCAGATCCAAACTAAATGTTATGTTCTGCATGAAATGTCAACAAAATTCCTCCGGCTAACTTTTAATCCACTGAAATGTCAAGAGGTTTAGGTTGTTCACCTAAAGAGTTGGGGAATTTAATGTTAAAATGTTAAACCAGAATATTTGGGGATGAAACTGTTTATAACCATATGGTTAATGTCTTTAGTTTGGTGTTAGTGCAAACGTCATATGTACATGAATGTTTGTATAATGGTTGTAGTAAGGTGTATTAACTAAACAATTTATTTTTCTAAAACAGTGTAGAACTTTCTTAGTGTTAAGAAATGTCAGTAAACTAAACATCTGAGGAAGAAGTAATCACACAGATTGACCACGGGGAGAATTTATGGCTTTAATTATAAACAAAAATCGCAAGCCAAGATTCTTTCCACTTGATTGGAAGAGGAGAGTTAGTAGTTGTGCATTCCACATCCTAATGACTCCACATTGAAAACGACCACATAGTGTATTGAAGAGGGTGTGATGCTAAACATAACTAGTTGAAGAAATTTGCGGTATTGAAATGAGGAACAAGTTAACTTTCTTACTGTTACCTGAAAGGTAAAATGGAGGATTTTCACAGATTTTTGAAAAGACTTGTCCTCTCCACTTTAACAAAAAGTGCACAAGCACAATCCTGTACCCACTACCAAGAGGGAACGCCTATTAAATGTGTGAGAGCATGAACAAGCCCATTTATCCTTGTGCTCACTGTTTCAAAGTGGCTGTTTGGATCACTCATACAAGCTTACTTTCCAAAGATTTTCAATTTTTCCACTATGTCAGACTCACAATCGGTTGGTGAAAATTCGGACGAGCACATAGGACAGCCTTACGCAAACACATCACCAGAATGATAACAATAAGTAGGACCACTTATTTTGATGATCCAACTGGAAAAACATTCTCCATTATACCTCTTAAGAACAGTAACATTTTTGCAAAGTGATGAGATCTCCATATGGAAATCATTTGTTCTGGTAGTTAGCTGTTGGCTGTTACATCATGTCAAGTTTTTTTTTTTATTAAACTCTGAAATAAAACACTTCACTAAATATTCTGCTATTTGACCAATACGATATGTTTCAAAGATGTGTCTTAAGGAACTGGTTGAAAACACTGTTTGTGTGGGCGTTGTTTTTTTTTTTTTACATGGATGTACTTTTTTCTTTTATTGGTATTCAATGGAAAGTGATCAGTGAGACCTATTTGTATTTCATCATGCATTAGTTTTATATGGGCAAGGGGATCATGATATTTTACTTGGTGGACTTCTATCAGTCTAACCCAGCAAAATGGGTGTCCATCTTAGATGATCACTCTTTCTATTCTGTGCTGAAAAGAATGTAAAACTATCAGTCATACAAGCAATTTTGTTTTAAGAGCAGCCCCCTTTTTGTGTTTTGAGGAAATTGAATCTGGTATATTCTTTTAAAGCTGGAATCCTTGGCAGAAATAGCCAGCATTCCAACTGTAAATCACCAACTTGGTCTGATGGGCTGAGCAGCATATACCCACTGGCTAAGCTAACGCTGGTTTGATGACTTAAGTTTTTCAGTAGATATAAAACATTATACATGATTGCAAAAAAGCATGTGCCTGTGTCTGGAAGAAAAGTCATGTTGAATGCTTTAAACACTCTGTTTTTGTCTCATTAATTTTGCAGGAATGGTTTCCGGGAAGGTACCACCCCCAAACCCAGACGTGCTGCAGTGGCCGCTTCCAGCTCATCCTAAATGACACATTTTTGGTTAAATAAATGTGATTGTGAATTGGAGTTTTGTCGTTGTCCTCTTAATTTTACTCTAACAGCCATGGGGTGGATCTGGGGCACATTGGTTTGTGCTCATTTCTGGGTGGCCTTATGGTTTCTAAGATTAACTAAGCCTTTTTGAAAAAGTGAAAAATTAGGTTGGATTAGTTTATTTCTTCACTAAATTGCTAGAATGTATTTAGGATGTAAAAACACAAGTTTTCTGTTTTTTTTTTTTTTTTTTTTTTAATGGAAAATTATGATTCTTTAAATCTTGGGGCATAATGATTAATTGTATGATAGCAAATATACTTAAGTATGTTTGATGTTTTTTGGGTAGAATATTTTAGTGGTGTAGTTGAATTGCTATATCAAACTGGAAGTTTAAACTTGATTACATCCTTTGAAAAATTTAATATTAACATAAATGGCTGGTGGTCTGAGCCTTACCCTTGACAAAAACATTTGTTTTGACAAATGAGGCATCAGATCGGACTAAGGTGAAATTTCTTGAAATGTGAGCAGCCTTAACATGAATCAGGTTTTCATTATCAAATATAAACTTGAATATCCAACATTTAAAGTAATGTTACAGTCTGACTTTATTCTTAATGCACATGCTAAGATCCCCCAAATTAGTATTTTATCCTTACAAAGACGGCAATTTCATGAAATGTTTTTATGAATTGACTGCAAAGAAATTCTAGTTAACTTCATATTTTAAATGCATTTGCTTTCTCATATTTAATGCTAAACTGAATTTTTATCTGCTGTTTAGTATTACCCGTTTTGGGTTCTGCAGATGTTAGTGACTTTTAATGTGTCAGAATAAAGTCCAGCCATTTGTGATCTGGACCGTTTCATGTGGCAGCTGGACACGCTTTATTTTGCATGAAACATTCAGCTAAGATGCTGCTTGTGGGCAGAACATGTATAAACATGCTCTGTTTATTCAAATAGTAGCCTGCCAGGGATTTCATTGAATTTGTGGCAGCAGCCAACGTTATCTGGGAAAGTACAGCTGGGAGATATATAATTTTTTGGTGTGGGGGCTATGAGACAAATATTTAGCAATTCGGCAAACAATACTGAAAGTTCCCAGACGACTGTTTGCTTACCAGTCAAAATGCTGGATTTTATGAGCATATCAGGAAAGTACAGAAGAGTCACCAGTATGAGAAAAATAAAAACCTAAGGGGTGGAAATATTTAAGTAAAGATTTAAAAGAAATTTGTCAACGATGAACCTATTAAGTTACACATGTCTCTGGCCTGATGTCCACTGGAGATCGACACCAGCCCAACACAGCCTTGTAAAGAATAAAGAGATGCCATATTAAGGAAAGTTTCATGCAGAGTTTGTCTCCACTTTGCACTCAGACATTTTAAATACATAAAACAATGAGATCTTTAAAATGTCTTGGCTTTCATTGGTTTTACATAAAATGAATTAATGTAAATCAGACCTAAAGTTCTTTAGAGAGAAAAAAAAAAGAGCCTGGAAATAAAGTGCAGCAGCTTGTTTCTGCAGACTGTTTTATAGTGCTTAGTTTGGATGTGTGGGGTCTGCTTTAGTGTCTCTGGAAATAATGAAACCAGAAGATTTCAAAGTGACCAAATGTTTAAAACAACCTGATGTTTCTTTAAGCATGTAAGCAGAAGATTAAACAAAAAGATGCAAATGGCTTTCCAACCATCTGTGTATCTTTTGGATGATCTGACAAGCTGACCTCTAACCCTATTAAAAGTCTGGATCCAGTCAAAGATAACGGCAGCGTATTTCAACATTTCTCCGGTACACACCCGTCACACTCCCCTTTCTCTGGCAAAGAGGTGCATTTGGCCAGCCTCCATTGTTACCATGCCTTTAGTATCTGTTTTACTGTCTCTATTGTTGATAGATTGCTGCAGTGATTGCGATTTCTACACTTTAAGGTTATCAGAGGTCACATCATTCCTGGTTAAGTTCACTCAAAGAAACCTGATTCTAAATCATAGTTTTGCATAAAACCTGGATGCTTACTTTATATGTTTTATTGATTGCCCAAGACTTTAAGGTTACAAAACATGCAGTAAATAACTGAAAAAATGTTTGCAGAGGTTTGATATGCAATAAGGAAATAACGCAGTAGTAATTAAGGCCCACCAGCAGAGGGTGATAAAGAGTTGTTGCCTGAGGCTGCAATCCACTTTCTCCCCCTTTCCTATTAGATGGGAAGTAGTGGAACAGCATTTCTCAGAAAGAATGAGGTAACCTGCAAGCTTTTCCTGTTGCTCAAATCTCCTTCTTTCATCCTCTGAGCTTCAGTCTGCTCCCATCTCCACTCCAGCCTGGATTGTTGCTCTTTCCCTAATATTGTAGAAGTTGGAATGACATGGTCTTGAACTGAGGCTGCTGTAATGAGAGGTAAGTGTATGCGCTCGCAGCCCCTGTTTGTGCCCCTCTTGTATCAGCATTGCACTAGGGGCTCAGACAGGGGTCACTTTAGATGTTATTAGTATTGCTGGAATGTGATGAGTTTTTAAACTGCTTTAAAGCACACTAAATTACCATTTTCCCCTCTCTAAGCTTGTGTTCTTGGATCAATTTGTGCTCTTCTCATGCTCCTGTGGGAGCCTGGATGCCAGGGGGATGAGGTTACAACCAGCACAGGTGAGTGAGAGGTTAGTCTCCATAGCTAGTCTCTGTAGAGCTTGGAACATGGCAGGAAACGCATGTGGAGTTTGAATCAGAGGAAATGGAAGCCTGTGTTTTTATTATCCCTCCTGGTTTCATCAGGACTTTCTCCAAACGTGATGGATTGGACTGAAGGGGTGTTCAGCATTCCTGTTGGCAAGAAAACAAATGCATTAAAGGTCCATGCAGGTCTTGACAGGATTCTCCCCATTAAAACCTGCATGGACACTTTACACCGTTATCTTTTTGAGCTTTAAGTGGAACAATAAATCAAGCAAAAGTCCTGCTATAAATAAAACCAACTAAAAATGCATTTAAAAAAAAAACCCTGAAAAAAAAGATAATTCTGATACTGATTCCTTTTAAAGTAATTTTTTACATGACACATTCTCCCAGGATGTTGTTTAAAAACTTTATTTAAGGACAAAAAGCTAGTTCATCAAAACCAGTGGTAGAAAAAGTTTTTCTTTTTAACTTTAAAACAAAAGCTTGTATGTGGGAAAAGGACTATCTTAAGCAGAATCTTTGTTTTTTTCCTACCTTGTACAAACAACTATTTTCACGCCTCTATGCAGACAAGATAGCATCTTGCCCTCAGGTGAAGCTATCAACATTCAGCCATTCCTCAAGTTTTTTTTTTTTTTTAAGCCGATTTCATTACCTGTCAAGTCTTACCTGATGTCTCATTTTACCAAATGAAGTTTGGTAAAAAAAAAAAATAACTCCACAGAGTTTTTCTCTTCCTAAATTCCTGCCTCACTCATTTAATTTCAAGTAAAAGCTTTAAAAGCCTGTTACCGGTAGTTGTTTATTGCAGCAGAATTTCAATGAGATTAAACCCTTTTTTGGAACTTGAGAAATCAGTCTTTGTGTAAGTTTATATAGCTGCCAGGTGAAGTTTCTGATCTGATAAGTCTCCGCCAAACAAAGAGGAAAACAAAACTGAAGATTTCCTTGCATGAGCAGTGAACAATAATCCATTTAAAGAAGAGATTTTCATTTGAAATGTTAAGATGTGTTATAGGTCATTAGCACACAACTAAACCCTGTGCGCATACTTGCACCACTGGGCAATAATTTATGAGGGTTTCTGTCAGGAGCGTGTGTGGACTTGCCAAAAAACCCTCCCCTCCCCCAACCTCTTTTTTTCCCCCTCTGGTTTAAATTGCCCTATAAACTAACATTGCTTTTTCATGTAACTTTTATCCCAAATGCTGTTTCACTTGACTTGTAAAAAAGAACAAGTTGGATTGAATCGTCAGTGAATGTTATCTTGATGCATTTCATCCACGTTAAACCTGCCAATGGTCTGCAGCTTTTCTAAATACACTGACTGGAAACTGTTGGAAGCTTTTAGAAAACTCAGTATGGGTGCCAGCGTCACCACAGGTTAGTGATCAACTCATTATGTTCATTTGTTGGATTCGTGAATAAAAAAAATAGTGGGGAAAAAAACAATTCCTGTTTCCTGTGTGGGCATGCTATATCCCAGCTTGGTAGGTAGGCATTACCTTCAGAGTTAATGGCCAAAGATGTGTTTGCATTTTACAAGCCAAGACACCAAAACTGAAAAAAAAAGATTAGTGATGGTGAATTAGTCAGTAGTTATGGTGGGGAAACTTTTGTTGTTACAACAACCTGGAAATTTTCTCTTAGATAATTAATACTTTAGTAAATGGAAAATACGGGTATTTCTAACAAGTACAAATTTGACAAGCACATCAATTCAATGCAGTTTAATTCCACTTCTGGAAAAATCACAAGTTAGAACATCCCCTCTGTGAAACTCAATGAAAGATGATGTCTGCAGAATACATTCATCCAGTCGACTGCTTGAACATTTTGTGAAAAAAAAAAATCTGGAAAATTCAATTTCTAGGAAAAGCTACCAAAGGATTTGCAGCTTTAATTTTAGTGAAAAGAGCTTATACAAAATATTGATAAAGTAGTCAGTGAAATACACTTTTATTTGATAAAAAAAGATCTAAGTTACTTTTTTTTTTTTTTTTTTAAGCCGATTTCATTTCCTGTCAAGTCTTACCTGATGTCTCATTTTACCAAATGAAGTTTGGTAAAAAAAAAAAAAAAAGTTGGAAAAAAATTAACTCCACAGAGTTTTTCTCTTCCTAAATTTCTGCCTCACTCATTTAATTTCAAGTAAAAGCTTTAAAAGCCTGTTACCGGTAGTTGTTTATTGCAGCAGAAATTCAATTAGATTAAACCCTTTTTTGGAACGACAAACAAGTTTTTCACACGTTTGTCGTGGTAGTGTTAAAAAAATGTCTGCAAGATTCAGCAGAGGGAATATTTCCCTCGAAACTCAGCCTAAAACAATGCACATTTTGCACAGTAAAAGTTTTTGCTCACTCTTAAACTAAGTGGGAGTCCTTTGATTTACAGATAAAAAAAAATCTGTTTTACCCCTTTTCCCCCCCTAAAAACTCTTAATGTAACATCAAACCCAGTATGATTAATTTAGAAAGTTTCCTGTCTTACATAAATAAATAATTCCAAGCTTAAGTTTTATTACATGTTTTAAAGACACACTGCAGTTAGTCATAGTTTATCCTTTACGTCTTTGCGGTTGTTTGTTTCTTCTGCATGTGTAAGGACTGAGTCAGTAGGAAGCAGTTAAACCAAAGAAATTTGACGTTTAGATCAAACTAACGTCTGAATTCTATATGGTTTCTATTTCCTTTCAAGGTCATGATTTTACTTATCTGCTTTTTGCATTGTCAAAATTCAAATGAATTGCCTTATTCAAACTGCCATGTCCCAAGTTTTACATTGAAGTGTTCCTGGTTTCAAAGGCTTTAATAGAAAGATCTGTTTTTTTCAAAGAAAGAATCTGTTGGGTACCTCTAAACTTAATTATTGCTGATTAAGAGCTTCCCTGCACATGCATGCTTCAAGACATTCCCTGTATTTTCCTAGAAAGCGATCCTGAAAAGGCCTCAGGCTTTTTAAAAATAAAAATGAAATTGCACCTTAGCAGCAAATGAGATTTTGCTGTCTATACACAGATTCAGTTCAGATTCTACAACCCTGTCCAATGTTTTAAAACAAATACACTAAATATAATTACAAAAAAAAAGTTTGAATGAGATCATTCCCTTGTGGGAAGATAAAAGACAAATATTTAGACCTCAC